TGTGGCTCGTGTTTCGCCTTTGGTAGGGTGTCAGCAGGCAAGGCGACCAGTGCTGCGGCTTCCACATCGCCTAGTGTGTGGCACTGCATCTCGGCCTTTGTTACTGGTAGGTTGTTAGCGAGCGCAACTCACCTTGTGGATCACTGCCTCGGCCTGCACATTGCACTGTTGGTTGCCCAATGTCTCGGCCTCCACATGTTCTCCGATATCAAGCAGCGTGTTAACCAGTGCTTTAGCCTCTACATCGTTTAGTTCCTGGCAAAGTGTCTTGTCCTGCTCTTTGTTTAGCGTGCCAGTCATCACGTCCAACAGTGGTTTGGTCTGCACATTGACAGGTATGTCGCCATGTGTATCGAATTTGGCCTCTATTAAAGGTGTCAGCTAGCGTGTTGACCAGCGCCTCGGCCTTCAAATCGCTTTGTGTGTCGCCAAGTGCGTGGAACTTCCATTGTGAAAGCGTGTTACCAGGGTTATCGATCAGTGTCATGGACTTCACATCGACCAGGGTGTCGCCAATTATCTCGGCAGCCGACTCTGCTAAGGTGTCAGCCATGGTGTCCACCAGTGCCTGGGCCACTACTTAGCTCAGTGTGTCGCAGAGTGTCTCGGCTAGCGTATCGACAAGTGTTTTGGACTCTACATTATTGACTGTGAAGCCTATTTTCGTAGCGTTTGCTTCTGGTAGCATATCAGCCAGCGTGTCGATTAGTTCCTCGACCTCCACATATCCCAGTGTGTCACCAAGGGTTCTCCCTCTTCCTCTTCTTACGTGTTCTGCAGCTTGTTGAGTAGTGCATTGGCCTTCAGTACTCTCACTGTGTCGTCAAGGTTTTGAATTAACTAGAGTGTCAGTTAGCGTGACTATTACTTCCTTGGCATTGACATCGTTAAGTGTCTCGATTAGTGGCTCATTTTCGGCCTATGTTTGAGTGCCAACAAGTGTCTCAACCTTCTCCTCGACCAGTTAGTCGGCAACTTGAAAGGGTGTGTGAAAGTGTGTCGGCCCTCGCCTCTAAAAGAGTGGTATGCAGCAAGTCCACTTGTTTTTGGTTTTCTACATCTCCTAGTGTGTTGCAGTGCCTCTTGCTGTTGGCCTCTACCTGCGTATCAGCTGGCGTGTTGACTAGTGCCTCGACCTTAATGTCATCAAGTGTGTCTCCAATTTCCTTAGTCTCCGTATAAGCTTGCGTATTAGGCAGCGTGTCCACCAGTGCCTTAGCCTCTACATCGCTAAGTGTCTGGCCAAGTTTTCTCACGCTCCGCTTCTACTAGCTTGTCGGCCAACGTGTTGGTTAATGCTTTGGCCTACTCATTGCCTATTGTGACGCTAAATGTGCTTGCGTTCGCATCTTTTAGCGTGTCAGCCAGCGTGCCGATTTTACCTCCTCCTCCACATGGCCTAGTGTGTGACCAAGTTTCTCGCATTTCGCCCTCAGCAGTGGGTCATCCAGCCTGCCGACTACCGCTTCGGCCCCCACATCGACCAGTGTGTCGCCAAGTGTCTCCGACTTCGCCTATGTTAGCGTGGGTCCAGCCCTGTAGATCAATGCCTCGAGCTACACTTCGACCAGTTTGTCGCTGAGTGTCTTGGCGTCAACTTCTGCTTCCGTGTCAGGCCGAGTGTCGCGCAGTGCCTTGGCTTTCAACTCTTCTAGCGTACAAGCCAACGTGTCGATCAGTTCCTCAACCTCCACATGGACTAGTGTGTTGCCAATTATCTCGAAGTCCCACACTGTAACCTTGTCAGGTTCCGAATAAGCCAGTGTGTCGCCCAACGTGCGACCAGTGCTTTAGCTTCTACATCCATTAATGTGTGGCCAAGTGTCTCACACACCCCTTCTGCTATTGTTTCAGCCAGCTTGTCGATTTATGCCTTCGCCTACACATGGCCCAGTGTGTCATTAAGTGTGTTGGCCTTTGCATCTTGTAGCGTGTCAGACAGCGTGCCGATTGTGCCTCCACCTCCACAATTCGTGTGTCTGCTAGCGTGTTATCCAGCGTGCCTCGCTGGATAGGTGTCGGATTCCACGTCGACCGGTGTGTCGCCAAGTGTTTCGGCCTGCTCTAATGCTGTGTTAGCCTAAGCTGCAGCCTTTGCCTAGACCAGAGTATCAGCCTGCGTGTCAACGAGCGTGTTGGCCTCCACATCATCTAGTGTGTCGCCAAGAGTATCGGTCTTCGCCTATGCTAGAGTGTCAACCAGAGTGTCGGGTAGTGCCTTGCGAAAAAGCGCCTCACCCTCTTCATCGTCAAGGTTTTTGCAAGTGTTCCTGCCTCCACCTTCGATAGGGTGTCACCTAGAGTTTCGACCACATCGCCAGTGTGTTCCCAAGTGTCTCGGTCTTCGCATCTGCTAGCCTGTCAGCCACCGTCTCGACGAACGCCTTAGCCGCCACATCCCACAGAGTGTCGCCAAACGTCTCAGCCTCCAAATCTTCTACCGTGTCAGCCGTGTTTCGAACAAACTCTCGGCATTCACATCGCGAAGTGAGTGGCAAATTTTCTAGGCCTCTGCTTCTGCTTACGTGTCAGCTACCGTGTCCACTAGTGAGTCGCCCACCACGTCGCCCAGTATGTCAATAAGAGTGTCAGCCATCACCTTTTGTAGGGTGTCAGATCCCGTGTCTAGCAGTGGATTCCTTCAGCTGCTACATGTCCTAGTGTGGTCTTATGTGTCTCGGCCTTTTTGTGTTTGACCGTTTTAGCTAACGTGTTGAACATTGCCTTGGCCTCCACATTGCTCAATGCTTTGCTAAATGTCTCAGCCTGACCTTGTGCTAAGCGGTCAACCGCCTTGTTGACCAGTGACTCGGCTTCTTTATCCTCCAGAGTGAAATTTTAATTATATCATTTTTGATTCGCCTCAAGGCATTCTAGAATAATTCACAATACTGCTTCAAGGACTTCTCAGACTGATTAAGGAGCAGTTAACAAGTAAAAAAGAAATAAGTAACGTATCTGCATACTTGAGTGTCAAAGTGAGATAGACCACAACTGTGTTGGCCAAGGTGTTGTCAAGTTTCTGTGCCTTCGCCTGTACTATCGTTTTTGCCGACGTGTCGACCAGTGCCTTTGCTTCCACATGGCATAGTGTGTCGAGAAGTGTCTCGGCCTTCGGCTCAGCAAGGGTTTTAGCCAATGTGTTGCCAAGTGCCTACAAGTGCGCATTCTAAAGGGTCAGCCAGGCTATTGACCAGTGTTGACCAGGTATTGACCATTTAGCCTCTACATCGACTAGTGAGTCGCCAACTGTCTCAGCCCTCACTTCTCCTAGCCTCACGGTCAGCAGGTCGGCTGGTGCCTCGGTTTTTACTTCGCTAAGTGCTTCGCTGTGTATCTTGGCCTGGTAAGGTGTCAGCTAGCATGTCGACCAGCCTTAGCCTCCACATCACCCAATAAGTCTCCGAGCTTCACATCCTGTGCTTCTTTTACGCCCTCGGGCAGCGTGTCGATTGGTGCCAAGTCCTAGACATTCACCCAATGTGTCGCCAAGAGTCTCAGCACCTGCTTTTGAAGGCCTTTTAGCTAGTGTGTCGATTAGACCGTCTAGCTGCATATCTTTTACTGGTGCCAAATGTCTCGACCGAAGACTCTTTTATACTGACAACCAGCACGTCGATCAAGCGCTCGGCCTCCACATTGACCACTCTGTCCCCAATTCTCTCAGCCTATCTTTCTGCTAGCGTGTTAGCCAGAGCGTCGCTTAGTGCCCCGACCTTCACAACGCCCAGTGTTTCGCAGTGTCTCTCAGCTCGCGCCTCTGGTAGAGTGTCAGCCAGCGTGTCGACCAGTGCTTTGGCCTTCATATCACTTAGTGTGGCGCCAAGTGTCTTAGTCTTTATTTCTGGTATCATGTGAGGCAGCTGGTGCATTAGTACCTTGGCGTGCACCTTGCTTAGTGCTTGGCCAACTGTCCCGGCCTCCGCTAGCGTGTCAGCTAAGTTATTGGCCACTACCTTGTCCTTCACATCGCTTAGTATGTTGCTAAATTGTCTTGTCTTCCACCTCTGCTAGAGCGTCTACCAGCGTGTCCATTACTGCGTCGGCTTCACATCGTCCAGTGTTTCGTGATTTGTCTTAGCCTTCGCTTCTGGTAGATTTTCAGCTCGCGTGTTGACCAATGACTTGGTCTCTACATTGCACAGTGTCCTGCGAAGTGCTAGGGTTTCCGTCTTTTGTAGAGTTTTGGAGATCGTCAATAAGTTGCTCGGCCTGCATATCAAACAGCGTGTGGCTAAATGTCTTATTCATGTGTTCTGGTAGCGTGTCAGCCGTCCTGTCGATTACTCCATCGGTATTCACATTTTCCAGAGTATTGGAACGCTTATTGAGCTCTGTGTCTGCTACTGTGTCAGCCAAAGTGTCAAACATGCCTTGGCGTCCACATCTCCCAGTGTGGCACCAAGTTTCTTGGCTTTCGCCTCTGCTAGAGCGTCTAGCATGGTGCCCATTTGTTCGTCGGTTATCACATCGCCCAGTGTTTCGACATTTGTCCTGGCTCTCGCTTCTGGTAGATTTTCAGCTCGCGTGTCGACCAATGCCTTAGTCTCTCTACATTGCACAGTGTCTTGCCGTTTGCCTTGGTCTCCGCCTATTGTAGGGCTTCAGATATCCTCCGACTAGTGGTTCGGCCTCAGCATCACCCAGTGTGTCGCCATGTGTTTCAGCTTTCGCCTGTGATGAATGGTCAGCCACCATGTTGACAAGTGGCTTGGCCTCCTCGTCCCAATGTCTCGCTAACTGTGTCGGTGTCCATCTCTGGTAAAGTGCCTGCCACCGTTTTTACCAGTACCTCAGCCGTCACATTGCGTAGTGTTTGGAAAAAGTGTCTCGGAATCCGCTTCCGCTATCGTGTCAGCTAGAGTGTCAAAAAGTGTCTTCTCCTCCACATCTTCCAGCTTGTCTCCAAGTGTCTTGGTCTCCGGACCCTTCCGCATATCAACCAGCATGTGACTCAGTGCTTTGGCGTTCGTGGCCACGTGTCGCGGCTACCGACTCTCTTAGTGTGACAGCAAGAATGGCTGCCAGTGCCATGGTCTCCACATCACCAGGTGTGTCGCCAAGTGTCTCAAACTTTGCCTCTACTTCATTATTGGACAGCGTGTAGACACTTGCCTTGGCCTGTACATCACCAAGTTTATCCGCCTTTGCCTTTTCAAGAGCGTCAATTAGTGTCGACCTGTCTCAAAGGCCTGCACGTCTGTCAGTGTTTCGACAAGTGTCTTAGCCTCCAACAGTGCTAGCAAGTTAGCTAGCGTGTCGATTAGTGCCTCTATCTCTACGTCGGCCACTGTGTCGCCAAGATCCTGGCTCTTTGTCTATGCCAGAGTGTAAGCCAAAGTCTTCTACACTTCTTCGGCCTCAACATTGCTCAGTATTTTGCCAAGTGTCTCAGTCTCGGCTTATGGTAGGGTGTCAGTCAGCTTGTCAATCAGTGCATGAGCCTCCACATCACCCAGTGTGTCGCCAAGTGTCCGGGCCGTCACCTTTGGTAGCGCGTTAGACAACTTTTCAACAACAGCCTTGGCCTCGACATCGCCTAATGTGCTGTTAACTTTGTTAGTCTCTGCGTCTACCAGGGTAAAAGCCAGCGTCTAGAGCAGTACCTCCACCTCCACATGTTTGTGCCAGCTAGCGTGTCTATCTGTGCGTTTGCCTCCACATCGCTGAGTATGTCGTCAAGTGTCTTCGATTTCGCCTCCGGTAGAGTGTTTGCCAGCATTTCCTTTAGTGCCTCTGCCTTCGTGTCACCTAGTGTGTCGAGAGCTGTCTTGCCCTNTCGTGTCAGCTAGAGTGTCAAAAAGTGTCTTCTCCTCCACATCTTCCAGCTTGTCTCCAAGTGTCTTGGTCTCCGGACCCTTCCGCATATCAACCAGCATGTGACTCAGTGCTTTGGCGTTCGTGGCCACGTGTCGCGGCTACCGACTCTCTTAGTGTGACAGCAAGAATGGCTGCCAGTGCCATGGTCTCCACATCACCAGGTGTGTCGCCAAGTGTCTCAAACTTTGCCTCTACTTCATTATTGGACAGCGTGTAGACACTTGCCTTGGCCTGTACATCACCAAGTTTATCCGCCTTTGCCTTTTCAAGAGCGTCAATTAGTGTCGACCTGTCTCAAAGGCCTGCACGTCTGTCAGTGTTTCGACAAGTGTCTTAGCCTCCAACAGTGCTAGCAAGTTAGCTAGCGTGTCGATTAGTGCCTCTATCTCTACGTCGGCCACTGTGTCGCCAAGATCCTGGCTCTTTGTCTATGCCAGAGTGTAAGCCAAAGTCTTCTACACTTCTTCGGCCTCAACATTGCTCAGTATTTTGCCAAGTGTCTCAGTCTCGGCTTATGGTAGGGTGTCAGTCAGCTTGTCAATCAGTGCATGAGCCTCCACATCACCCAGTGTGTCGCCAAGTGTCCGGGCCGTCACCTTTGGTAGCGCGTTAGACAACTTTTCAACAACAGCCTTGGCCTCGACATCGCCTAATGTGCTGTTAACTTTGTTAGTCTCTGCGTCTACCAGGGTAAAAGCCAGCGTCTAGAGCAGTACCTCCACCTCCACATGTTTGTGCCAGCTAGCGTGTCTATCTGTGCGTTTGCCTCCACATCGCTGAGTATGTCGTCAAGTGTCTTCGATTTCGCCTCCGGTAGAGTGTTTGCCAGCATTTCCTTTAGTGCCTCTGCCTTCGTGTCACCTAGTGTGTCGAGAGCTGTCTTGCCCTCTGCTTCTTGTAGACTTTCTCGTCTCCGCATCGCAGAGTGTGCTGTCAAGTGCCTGGATATTCGCTTATTGTAGGGTTTTCGAAAGGTTGTCGACTGGTGCTTTAGCCTACATATCAGCAAGTATGTCGCCATGCCTCTCAGCCCATATTGCCAGCCAAAATGTTTTTCAGTGCCTCCGCCTCCACATCGACAAATGTCTCGCCAATTGCCTTGGTCTGTGTCTCTGGTAGAGTGTTAGCCAGCGTCTCAAACGAAGCCTTGCCCTCCACATCACACATTGTCTCACAAAGTGCTTATGCTAGTGTCAGCCGGCGTGTCTACCAGTGCTTAGGCGTTAACATCTCTCAGTAGCTGGCCAAAATGTCTCTGAAATCGCAATCATTTCTCGTTGCAAAGTATCTGAATCACTTCCTTGCTTAGCGTGGCAGCTAGCGTGTCCACCATTGCATCGGTCTTCACATTTGCCAGAGAGTTGCTATGTGTTACAGTTTCAGCTAGCGTGTAGAAGAGTGCCTGGGCTTCCACATCGCCCGTTTTGTAGAAAAGTGTCTAAGCCTCCAAATCAATCATTGTAACAGAAGGCGTCTACACCAGCGCATTTGCATATGCTTGTGTGCCAGCCACCGTGTCGACGAGTGCCTCCGTCTCTATATTGACCAGTTTGTCGCGAAATATCTTGGCCTCCGACTCTTCTCGCTTTAAAGCCAGCGTTTCGACCAGTGCCTCGACCCTCACTTTGCTCTGTTTGTTGCAATGTGTCTCTTCCTCCGTCTTTGGTAGGGTGTCTGCCAGCGTGTTAAAGAGTGCTTGTGCCTACACATCACCCAATGTGACGTGATTTATCTCGGGCCTCCGCTAGCGGTACATGTCAGCAAGTGTGTCGATTAGTGCCTCGTCCTCCACATCGGACAGTGTGTCGCTAAATGTCGCGGCTTTCGCCTTTGCTTGCATGTCAGTCAGCTTCTCGATTAGTGCCTCGGACCCCACATCTCTTGGGGTGTGGCAGTGTTAATCGACCTTAGCCTGTGGTAGAGTGTTAGCCAGGGTGTCGACCAGTGCTTCGGCTTCTTCATCCCAGAGAGTCTGAAAGGTCTTCGGCTTTGCTTCTTATAGGGTGTCAGCCTGCGTATGGACCAGTGCCCCAACTCCTACATAAACTGTGTGTCCGCATCTCCCAGTGTGTTGCAGTGTGTCTTGGCATCTATTTCTTCTAGGGTTTCAGGCAGCATGTCGGCCTTCAGAAAAACAACGGTGTTGCCTAATGTCAAAGCCACGGCCTCTTGTGGGATGTCAGCCGGCCCGTTGATTAGTGCCTCGGCTTACAATTGGGTTAGTGGATCGCCCAGTGTCTTGATCTCCACCTTAGGTAGTGTGTCAGCGTGTCAGTGTTAACTAACTTCCTTGCCTTCTTACAGTCTATCTTTTAGTGCCTACATATTTGCACTGGATAATGAATCACAGTGTGTCTCGGTCTTTGCCTCTTCGACAGTCACAGCTTTTTTGTCGATTTGTGCTTCAGCCTCCACATCGCCTAGTCTGCGGCCAAGTATCTTATCCTCCGCCTCTGTTAGCGAGTCAGCCCGGCAACGTGTAGATTAGTGCCTCGACCTTTACAATGCCCAGTGTTTCGCCAAGTGTCTAAACTTTTGCCTCTTCTAGAGTGTCACCCATCGTGAAGATGAGTGCCTCGGCCTCCACGTCGACTAGTGATTTGCGATGATAAGTCCCGGCTTCCCTCTTTGCTACCGTGAAAGCGAGCGTGTTTACCAGTGCCTCGACCTCCACATCCCTAAGTGAGTAGCTGAGTGTCCTTACCTCCGTTAGTGCTACTATGTCAGCCAGCGTGTCCACCAGTGACTTTGCCAGTGTCTACCAGTAAATTGCCACATGCATCGACTTCGGGCTTTTTTATACTGTCACGCGGCGTGTAGATGAGGGCCTTGGCCTACACATAGACCAGTTTGTCGCAAAGTGTCTTGGCCTCCGACTTTGTTACAGTGTCAGACAGCGTCTCGATTAGTGTCTCGGCGTCCACATTGCCGATGTGTCGCCTAGTGTCTCAGCCTCTGCTGTTACTAGCGTGCAAGTTACCGTGTCGACTAGTGCTTCGGCCTCCACATCTCCCGGTTTATCGCCTAGAGTCTCGGCCTTCTGGTATGCGAGCGTGTCACACAGAGTTTCGATTAGTGCCTCGGCCTCTTCATAGGACAGTGTTTCGCCTAGTGTTCTGGCCTCTGCCTCAGCTGAGGCAATAATTTCCCTCCACACCGTCCAGTTTACAAGGCCTAATGGATAGAGGTTTGTTTCGGTCTTCGCCTCTCCTGGAGGATGGGCAAGCGTGTCGATAACGGTTTTATAATTTACATCGCCTAGTGTATAGGGGAAGTGTCTTGTCTGCGCCGCTGCTAGCGTGTCAGGCAACTTGTCGACCTGTTCTTCCTGCCATTAAATCGTCTAGTGTGTAGCCATGTGTATTTGCCTTTGCCTCTTATAGCGTGCCACCTTTTCTGTAAATCAGTGCCTTGGCCTACACGTCCACCAGATTTTCGCCAAGTGTTTGACCTTCGCATCTGCTATCGTGCCAGACATCGTGCCGATCAGTTTCTCGACCTCCTTATCGCGTAATCTGTGACCAAATGTCTTGGCTTTGGCCTCTGTTAACCTGCCAACGAGCGTGTGGAGCGGCGTCTTGGTCTCTGCATCGCCCAATTCTTCGCCAAGTGCCTCGGTTTTGCGCCACTGATCATATCGGCCGGTTTGTCGAAATGTGTGCTGGCCTTCGCTCCTGGTAAGGTTTCAGCCCGCGTGTCAACTGTGCCTCGGTCTCCACATCGCAAGGTGGCTTACAACTGTCTGGGTATCCGCTTATTTTAGGGTTTTACAGTGTGTGTCAACTAGTGCTTTGGCCTCCACATCACCTAGTGTGTCGCCTTTTCTTCGGATATACAGTCGACTCCCTATAACTCGAACCTTGAAGGGAAATCGAAAAAAGTTCGAGTTATCGGGAACTCGAAGAAAATAGCCGAGAGTAAGGAAAAAACAGTTTTTACTGAACAGTGAACATTTTGATCACATTTAATTGTAGAAATGGCAAGTGAAAATTAAAAGATACTTCTAGATTATAAATCAGAACGTAACGTAAAAAACATTCCCTAAATAGAGGATGCGTTTTACTGTTTTGAGAAGAAAAGCTGCTTCACGTTAGCCTGTAACAATCAACATCAGCCTCCATTAGTAAACTATACTCCTACAATACGCTAATAGTAAATCCAAAATTCAATGTTTCGGACGCCAGTAGACGACTTCTTACCCGACTTTGTAAGGGCTCAAAACATGGCGAAAATAACCTTAGGGGAAACGAAAATTGGTTCGAATTAGAACGAAGTTCGAGTTAGCGAGGGTTCGAGTTTTCGGGAGTCGACTGTATTGTCAGTCTGTCTTGGCCTCCACCACTGTTACCAAGCAGCCAGCCTGTCGACCAATGCGTTGGCGTCCACATCGCGTATATGTGTCGCTAAGTGTCCTTACCTCTGCTACTATGGCAGCTAGTGTCTAGACAAGTGTATCGGTGTCCTCCTTTTTACAAGTGTGAACCACCGTCTAAATCAGTGTCTTGTTCTCCACATCAACCAGTGTGTCGCCATGTGTATTGGCGACAACCACTATTACCACTATTACAGCACTTTCAGCCAGCGTGTACATCAGTGGCTCGGGCAACACATTGATCAGTGTGTGTCTTGGTCACTACCTCTGCTAACGTGTCAGCCAGCGTATCGACAAGGGCTGCGGTCGTCCACATCGCCGAGTGTGGCCAATTGTCTCGGCCTTCGACTTTGTTAGCGTGTCAGCCAGCGTGTCGATCAGAGCCTCGGCCTTCATATTGCCCATGTGTTGCCTAGTGTCTTAGCTTGTGCTTCTGCTTGCGTGTAAGTCACCGTGTTGCACAGCGCCTTGGCCTCCACATCGCACGGTTTGTCGCCAGGTGATTTGGTCTATGCCTATGGGAGAGTGTCAGGCAGCGTGTCAATTAGTGCCTACGCATGCACGTTCGACGCCATTTGTATCGCCTTCCGTTTCTCTTAGAGTGTCAGCCAGCGTGCAGAAGAGTGCTTTGGCCTCCACATCGCTTACTGTGTAGCCAAGTGTCTCAGCCTCCAAATCAGCTATCGTGTCAGCCAACGTGTTGACTGGTGAGTCGCACTCCACTTGCCTTCGTTTGTAGCCTATTGTCTAGACCTCCGCCTCTGCTAGCTTGTAAGCGGCCGTGTCGACCAGTGTCTGGGCCTTCACATTGTCCATGTTTCGCCTTGTTTCTCGGCCCCTGCTTCTGGTCTCGGGTAAGTGTCTCGGCCTCCACCTCTACTAGAGTGTCAGGCATCCGGTCGATTAGAGCGTTGGCCCACACATCGCTTACTTTGACGCTAAGTGTCTTAACTTCCGCCTCTGATAGCGTGTCAGCTAACAGCTCGGTTAGTGCCTTGGCCTCCACAAATGACACTGTGTGGCCTAGTGTCTCGGCTTTCTGCTGTGCTAGCATTCTGCCAGCGTGACAACCCGTGCTTACACCTTCAGCTCGCCCCGTGTTTCACGAAAGGTCTCTGCCTCCGCCTGTGACATTGTGTCAGCCACAGTATCCACCAGTGCCGTGGTCTCCACATCAACCACAATGTCGCCAAGTGTCTCGGCTTCCCACTCTGCTGCTGTGTCAGCCAGCGTGTGGACCAGCGACTCGGTCTTGACATCGACCATTATGTCGCTAACTGTCTTGAATTCTGCCTCTGCTAGACTTTCAGTCATCGTCTCGACCCGTGCCTCGGCCTTGATATCGCGTGGTGTCTGCTAAGGTCTACAGATGGTGACTCTGGAGTGCTGACTTGCCCTCGTAAATCAAGTAGGTACCCTGCAAAAGTTTTAAATGACTTGGACTTTGCAGATGACATCGCCTTGCTTGAGTCCTCCATCTTTCGTGCTCAGTCCCAGCTAACCAGAACTGCCAATGCTGCTGCTGACCTTGGACTTGTCATCAGTGCTCCCAAGACTGAGTATATAACGATCAACTGCTGTCCACAGCCTCCACTAGATGTATATGGTAGTACAATCAACCAAGTACTAGACTTCAAATACCTTGGCTCCATGATGGCATCTAGTAGTGGGGATCTCAAAAGAAGGAAAGGGCTTGCATGGACAGCTTTTTGGAAGCTCGAACGTCTGTGGAGATGCCCTAACATCTCTATCTCCACCAAGATCAAGCTATTTAATACTACCTGTGTCACCGTCCTTCTATATGGCTGTGAGTCGTGGGTCCTGTCGAAAGCAATGGAAAGAGAGGTCAATGTCTTTGGTACCTCATGTTATAGAATTATGCTCAACATCAAGAGAATTGATAGGGTGTCCAATGCTAAAATCTATGATTTAACTCAGACTGCCCCGCTAGTAGAAAATGTCAGAACCCGCCAACTGCGGTTTTTGGGCCATGTACTCAGGATGCCTGATGATGAGCCATGCAAGGAGTACGCACTGTATATTCCACCACATGGAAAGAGAAAACCGGGAAGGCAACGAACCCTGTTTCTCAGATACATTCAACACCTTTTGGGAGACACAGACAACATGATTGGCCCAGGCAAGCTGTCTGATTTGGCACAGGATCGTTGTGGCTGGAGGAAGCTCGTAGTCGCCTGCTCTGCAGCCGACCGATGATGATGAGTGTCTCGGTATACGCTTCTGCCATAGTGATAGCCAGAGAATCAAAGATTGCCTTTGTCTCCACACAGCCCAGTGTTTTGGCAAGTGTCTTGGCCTCCACATCTTCTGGCATATCAAGCAGCGTTTTAATTAGTGCTATAAGCTGCACATTGTTTAGTTCCTTGCAAAGTGTCTCGGACTCCTCTTTGGTTAGCGTGCCAGCCATCGTAACCACCAGTGTTTTGGTCTCTGCATTGACCAATGTGTCGCCATGTGTATCGGCGTCGGCCTCTATAGACTGACAACCAGCGTGTAGATCATTGCCTCCGCCTTCACATCGCCCATTGTGTATTTAAGTGTCTCAGCCTCCAAATCGCCATTGCGTCAGCCAGCGTTTCAACCAGTTCCTCGGCCTTCACACCACTTAGCATATCGCCAAGACTAGTGCATCGGCCATAATATCGCCAAGTGTGTCGCTAAGTGTTTCAGTCTCCGAATAAGCTAGCGTATCAGCAAGCGTGTCGACCAGTGCCTTAGCCTCTACATCGCCTAGTGTGTGTCCAAGTTTCGCAGCATCTGCTTCTGCTAGTTTGTCAGCCAACGTGCTGGTTAATGATTTGGTCTATTCATCGCCTATTGTGTCGTTAAATGTCCTGTCGCTCGCATCTTTCAGCGTGTCAGCCAGCGTGTCGATTGTACCTCCAAATCCACATCAACCAGGGTGTCGACGAGTGTCGCGGCCTCCACATAGCTCAGTTTGACGAAGAGTGTTTTGGCACCCCACCTCTGAAAGGGTGCTAGCCAGCAAGTCGACCCGTGGTTGGGCCTCTACATCAACCAGTGTATCGCAGTGTCTATCGGCGTTTGCCTCTGGGGCTCTGCTTCGACCAGTGCCTCCCCCTAAACATCGCAGTGTGTTCCGAAGTACTCGGACTCCGCTTACGTTAGCGTGTCAGCCAGCGTGTAGAAAAGTGCCTTGGCCTCCACATTTCCCAGTGTTTCGCTAAGTGTCTCAGCGTCCCACCAACCCGTCAGACACCCTGTTGACCAGTTCTGCGGTTCCTTATCCCTTAAAATTTAAAAGTAAATGTAAATTGTAATAATTTTATTATCCATTTCCTTGAGAACTTTTCAGGGATAATTCATAACACTGGTTGAAAAAGTGCAGTTTAAAAGTAATAAAGGAATAAGTGTAAAAGTAAGATAGACCACAACTGTCCCAAAGTGTTTCGCCAAGTGTCTGAGACTCTTTATGTACCAGCGCGGTTGCCAAGGTGTCGTTTTGTGCCTCGGCCTTATCATTGCCCAGTGAGTTGCCAAGTGCCTCTGTCTCAGCCTCTGTTTAGCGTGTCAACCACCGTGTCAACCTGTACCTCTGCCTCAACATTGCATAGTGTGTCAAGAGGAATTTTATACTTTGCCTTTGTTAGGGTTTCAGAAAAGTGTCTACCACTGCTTCGGCCTCCACATCGCCCACTGTTTCGCCACGGTCTCCACCACCTGGTAGAAGCTTAGCCAGCGTTTCAATCAGTGCTTGGGCCTGCACATTCACGTTATGTCGCCAAGCGTCCTGGCCTCGGCCTCTGCGAGAGTTTAAGCCACCTTCTAGACATGCCCATCTACTTCCACATTGTTCATTTTGTCGCCAAGTTTCGCAGCCTCTGCTTCTGCTACGGTGCCAGCCAGAAGGCGGGCCAGTGCCTCCGTCTTTACATAACCCAGTGCGTTGCAGTGTGTCTTGGCCTCTGTAACTGGCAGGGTGTCAGCCAGACGTTCGACCAGTGCGTCAGCCTCCAGATTGCCCAGTTTGGCGGCAAGAGTCCTGGCGTCCACCTCTGCTAGCTTGTCAGACAGGGTGTCGTTAAATGTCTTGGCCTATACATCGCCGATTGTGTAGCTAAGTGACTCGGTCTTCGTCTCTATGAGAGTGTCAACGAGCGTGTCGATTAGTGTCTCGGAATCCACAGTGGAAAGTTTCTAGCCAAGTGCCTTGGTCTCCGCCTACGCTTGGGTGTCAGCCTGCGCGTTGACCAGTGCCCTGGCCTCTAGGGCTCTTAATGTGTCACCAAGTGTTTTGCCTTCCGTATCAGCTATCGTATGACGGAGTGTGTTGCCCAGTCCCTCCGCCTCCGCATCGCCAAGTGCCTTGGTGTCAGGCTATGTCTCAGTGTTAGCTATTGTGTCGACTAGTGCCTCAACCTCCACATCGACCTGTGTGTAACCAATTTACCTCGGCGTCCGACTCAGCTACCTTGTCTGCCAGGTTTTCGGCCAGTGTCTTAGCCTCCACTTAGCTCAGTGTGTCAAAGTGTGTTTCGCCTCTGCCTCTGAGAGAGTGCTAGCCAGCAATTTGACCCATGCTTGGGCCTGTCCTTTAAATGTAAATTGTAATTCTNCATCGCCAAGTGCCTTGGTGTCAGGCTATGTCTCAGTGTTAGCTATTGTGTCGACTAGTGCCTCAACCTCCACATCGACCTGTGTGTAACCAATTTACCTCGGCGTCCGACTCAGCTACCTTGTCTGCCAGGTTTTCGGCCAGTGTCTTAGCCTCCACTTAGCTCAGTGTGTCAAAGTGTGTTTCGCCTCTGCCTCTGAGAGAGTGCTAGCCAGCAATTTGACCCATGCTTGGGCCTGTCCTTTAAATGTAAATTGTAATTCTGTAATTATTCATTCCCCTGAGGACTTTTCAGGAAAAAATCAAAACACTAACTGAAAGACTTTACTAGACTGCTAAACGTGCAGGTTACAAGTAATAAAGGAATGAGTAATGATACCCCCATAAATAAGTGTGAAAGTGAGATAGACCACAACTGTGTCACACAGTGTGTCGCCAAAGGTCTTAGCCTCCGCCTGTACCAGCGTGTTCGCCAAAGTGTCGTTCCCTGCCTCGGCTTCATCATGGCCTAGCGGGTTACCAAGAGCCTCGGTATCCACCTCTGTTAGAATGTCAACCACTGTCTAAATCGGTGGCTGTGCCTCCACATCGCATAGTGTGTCAAGAGATTTTCTCCGCCTTTGCCTTTGGTAGGGTTTCGACCAACGTGTCCACCAGTGGCTTGTCCTTCACATCCCTCATTGTGTTGCCAAGTGCCTCCCTTTCCATTTCTGTTTTTTGCATCGACCAGTGTGCCGCAAGTCGCCTAACCTTGGTTTCTAAAATAAATTGCGGCTGGCGTGTAGAACCGTCCATCTGCCTCCACATCGTTCACGTTCTGGCCAAGTACTTTAGTCTCCGTCTCTGCTAGTGTGTCAGCCAGCAGGTCCGCCACTGCATCGGTCTTCACATAACCCAATGCGTCGCAGTATGTTCCGGCCTCCGCCACTCGTAGGGTGTCAGCTAGCGTGTCGACCGACTTAGGCCTTCACATCACTTAGTGTGTCCACCAAGTGTCTCAGTCCTTCCTTCTAAAGGAGTGTAATTCCAGCGTGTTGATTTGTGCCTCGGCCTCCACATCACCCAGTGTGTGTTACCACAAGTCTCTGTCGTTGCTTCTAAAGGCGTGCAGTCACCGTGTCCACCAGTACCTCACTTTCCACTTCGCAGATTTCGTCACTGTCATGGTCTCCGCATCTTCTCGCGTAACAGCCAGGTTGTTAAACAGCGCATCCGCCTCCACATCGCCCAGTTTGCTGGCAAATGTCTGGGTCTTCGCCAAAGCCAGAGTGTGAGCCAGGATGACAGAGTTTCAGCCAAGTGCCTAGGCCTCCACATCGCTCAGCGTTTGGGGAAGTGTTTCGTTCTCAACCTATACTAAGGTGTCAGCCATCGTGTCGAAAAGTGAAATGGCCTTTACATTGCGTAGTGTGAGGTCAAAGTGTCCCGGAGTCCGCTCCTGCAATTGTGTAAGCTAGCGTGTCAAACGGTGTCTTGCCATCCACATCGTCCAGTGTGTCTCCAAGTGTCTTGGCCTCTAGACCTTCCCACGTGTCAGCTGGCCTGTCAAGCAGGGCTTTGGCGTCCATATCGCTTAGTTCGTAAGAAAATGTCTCCGCTTGCGACTCTGTTAGCGTGGCAGCTAGCGTGTCTTCCAGTGCGTCGGACTCTCCATCGCCCAGTGTGTCGCCAAGTGTCTTAAGCTTTGCCTCTGCTAGATTCTCAGAAAAGATATCAAACAGTGCCTTAGCCCCCACGTCGTCAAGTGTGTTGTTAAGTGTATCCGTCTTTCCGTATGCTAGAGTGTCAGTCATTTTAGACCAGTGCCTAGGCCTCCACATCTCTCAGTGTGTGCCGCCAAGTGTCTCAGGTTCCGACAGTTTCCAACAGTACTAGCGAATCAGCTAGCGTGTCGATTACTGCCTCGACTTCCACATCGACCAGTGTGTCGCAAAGTGCCTAGGTCCTCGGCTATACTATGAGTGTCAGTTAGAGTGTCCTACAGTTCCTCGGCCTCGACATCGCATCGCCAAGTGTCTGTCTATCTGCTTCTGCTAGCGTGTAAGCTATTGTGTCGACCAGTGCGTTGGTCTCCATAACGACCAGATTGTCGCAGATTACCTTAGCCTTTGGTAAGGTGTCAGCCAGCGTGTCGGCCAGTATTTGGGCCTTCACATCACCTATTGTGTCGCCGAGTGTTTTAGCCTTTTCTTCTAGTGGCGTGTCTGGCAGCGTGTCAATTACTGCCTCGGCCTCCACATCGCGTTGTGAGTCCCCAAGTCGCCTTTGCCTATGCTAGAGTCTCAGCCAGCGTTTTGACCAGTTCCTCTTCATCCACATTGTTTAGTGTGTCGCGAGGTGTTTCGCTATCCGCCTCTGCTAGCGTTTCAGTGAGCCTCTCGAACAATGGCTCGGCTTCTACATCGCTTAGTGTGTCGCCAAGTGTTTTTCCCTCCGCCTCTTCTACTATGTCAGCTAACGTGTCAAATAGTGCCTTGGCCTCTTTATCGACCAATTTGTCGCCCACTTTATCCGGTTCCCTCTCTGCTAGCGTGTCACCCATCGTGTCGATTAGTGCCTTATCCTCTGCATGGCTTAGTGTGTCGATAAGTGTCCCCTCCCCTGCATTAGCTACTGCGTAAACCAAAGTGTCGACCAGTACCTTGGCCTCCACATCGCCCAGTGTTTTCAACTGTCCCTGCCTTTGTTTCTTCTAGCTTATATGGCAGTGTTTAGTTTACTGCCTGGGCCTCCACATCGCCTAGTGTGTTCCTAAGTGTCTTTGGTCTCCTCATCAACCAGTGTGTCGCCAAGTGTCGTAGCCCTTGCCTTTGCTCGCGTTTCAGCCAGCGAGTTGAGCAATGTCTCGGTCTCCTCACTACTTAGTGTCTCTCCGCCTGTGCCTCCGTGTCAACCAGCGGATCGTTTAGTGCCTAGTCCTCCACATCACCCAGTGTGTCTCCAAGTTTCTCAGCCAGTGCTTCTGTTAGCATGTCAGGACCAGCATGTCGATCAAGGGCGTGGCCTCCAAATTGACCACTCTGACCCCAATTTTCTCAGCCTCTGCTTCTGCTAGCGTGGTAGCTAGTGGGTCGCTTAGGGCCTCGGCTTTCACATCGCCCAGTGTGTCGCAGTGTGTCCCGGCCTTCGCCTGTAGTGCTTTGGCCTCCAAATCACCCAGTGTGTTGCCAAGTGCATTGGTCTCCTACTATGCTAGAGTATCCGCCAAGTTATTGGCCAGTGCCTGGTCCTCCACATCGCCTACTGTGACGTCAAGTGTCCCGCCGTTTTTCTCTGCTAGGGTGTTGACTTGTGTCCTGGCCTGCACATCGCCCAGTGTGGCGCCAAGTGCCTTGGCTTCCGCCTCTGCTAGAGCGTCTACCAGCGTGTTCATTAGTGCGTCGGCTTTCAAATCGCCCAGTCTTTCGTGATTTGTCTTGGCCTTTGCTTGTGAAAGATTTTCAGCTCGCGTGTCCACCAATGCATTGGTCTCTACATCGCACACTGTACTGCTAAGTGCTTGGGTCTACGCCTATTCTAGAGTTTCGGAGAGCGTCGATCCGTTGCTCGGCTTTCATATAAACCAGTGTGTGGCCAAATGTCTTTTTCATGTCTTCTGGTAGCGTGTCAGCCATCATATAGATTACTGCCTCGGCCATCACATCGCCCAGAGTATCGCAAATTTTATTCGCCTCTGCCTCTGCTACTGTGTCAGCCAAAGTGGCGACAAGTGCCTTGGCCTCCACACCGCCCAGTGTGGCGCCAAGTGTCTTAGCTTCCGTCTCTGCTTGAGCGTCTACCAGGGTCTATTAGTTCGTCGGTTTTCACATCGCCCAGTGTGTCGGGATTTGTCTTGACCTTCATTTCTGGTAGATTTTTAGCTCGCGTGTCAACAAATGCCTTGGTCTCTACATCGTACAGTGTCATGCCAAGTGCCTGGGTTTTCGCCTACTGTAGGATCTCAGAGAGCGTCCCACTAGTGTTTCGGCCTTTATATCTCCTGGTGTGTTGCCAAGTGTCTCGGCCTTCACCACTGGTTGCGCGTTAATCAGCGTGTCGACTACAACCTTGGCCTCCACATCGCCTAATGTGCCGCCAAGTGTGTTGGGTCCTGCATCTGCCAGGGTATCAGGCAGCGTCTTGACCAGTGGCTCGAACTCCACATTGTTGTGCCATTTAACGTGTTAACCTGGGCGTGCGCCCAGTATGTCCTAAAGTGCCTTGGATTTCGCCTCCGCCTCCGTGTCTACGAGTGCCTTTTCCTCTACTTCGCCCTGTGTTTCGCCAGGAGTCTCAAGCTCTGCCTCTGTTAGATTGTCAGCTAGCGTCACGACCAATTCCTTGGCCTCCACATCGACCAGTGTTTCGTCAAGTGCCTGGGTCCCCGCCTATCCTGGAGTGTGAGCCAAGGTGTCCACCTGTTCCTCGGCCTCGACATGGTTCAGTGTTTCGCCAAGTGTCTAGGCCTCGGCTTCCGCTAAGAGTGTCGACGATGATGTCGACCAGTGCCTCGGCCTCAACATCGACCACAGTGTATCATTCAGGGTGTCGACCAGTGCCAGAATCTCGAATTCGCCCAGTGTGTCACTAAGTGTGTCGCCCCTCGCCTCTGCTAGCTTGTCGGCCAACGTGTCGAACAGTTCCTCGGTCTACACAACAACCAGTGTCTAAAAACGTTTCCCGCCCTCCGTCTAATCTACTGTGTTAGCCAAATTATAGAGAAGTTCCTTGCCTCCACACCGCCTAGTGTTTCGAGAAGTGTCTTCACCTCCAATAGCGTGTCAGCCATTGTGTCGATTAGTGCGTCGATCTCTACATCGCCTAGTGTGTGGCCAAGTTTCTCGGCCTCTGCATTTTCTAGCGTGTCATCTAACCTGTCGACCAGGGCCTCCAGATGGAGCAATGTCTTGAAGAGGGTATCGTCCTCTCCCCTCTCTTTGAGCGTCAGAAGGCGTGTGGGTCAGTGCCTCAGATTACACGTCGCCCAGTGTGTGGCAAAGTGTCTCGTCCTCCGACTCTGTTAGGTTCTGCTAAAGTGTCGACCAGTGCCTCGGCCTCCTGATCACCTCTTATGCCGTTAAGTGTCTCCGACTTCGCCTCGATAGCGAGTCGGCCATCGTGTCTCCACTGCGTCAGCCCCCACATCGCCCAGTGCCAGTTGTCTCGGTTCTCGCCTCTCCTACTGTGCCAGCCAAGGTGTTAACAAGTGCGTCTCCCTCTCCACCCCCTCCAATGGGGAAGTGTCACAGCCTTCGCTTCTAGTAGCGAGGCAGCCAGCGTGTCGAGCACTGCCTTTGAAGCCATATCGATCAGTATGTCGACAAGTGTCTTGGCCTCCGCCTCTGCAAACTTGTCAGCCAGGGAGTTGACCACAGCCTCGGCCTCCGCATCGCCAAATGTGTCGCCAAGTGTCTCGGCTTACGCATCTGCTAGCTTGTCAGCCAGCGTGTCGACCAGTGCCTCGGCTTCCAGTTTTCAAAGTGTGTGCCCTAGTGTGTCGGCCTCCGTCTCTCTTAGCGTGTCTGCCAGAGTGTCGAATAGATCTTTTGGCCTCAACATCACTCGTTGTGTCACCAGGTATCTGGGCCTCCGCCTCTGGTAGTGTGTCGACGAATACCTTGGCCTACACTTCGATCAGTGCGTCGCCAAGTATCTTCGCCTCTACCCCTGCAAGCGTGCCAGGAAGCGTGTCGACTAGTGCCTTGGTCTCCACATTGCTCAGTGTGTTGACCAGTGCCTCGCCCTCAACATCGTCTAGTTTGTGGCACTGTCTCGGCCTCCAGCTCTGTTAGCGTGTCAACAAGGGTGTCGACCTTCGGCCTTCACATAGCGTAAAGTGTGGCCCAAGTGTCTCGGCATGCACTGGTTAAAGTTGCTAAACTCGTCAAATTCACAGCACCCATGACAGTCACCACCCTCACAACATTCACAACACTCGTCAGGGTCAGAAACCTTGTCACAGTCACAATATTCGTCACAGCCTCCACACTCGTGTGAGTCAAACGAGTGCCTCGGCCTCCACATCACCTAGTGTGTCGCCAACTGTTTTAGCCTCCACCTGTTCTTGCATGTCAGCCAGCGTGTCGATTAGCGCTTCGGCCTGCATATCGCCCAATGTGTCGCAGTGCTTCGATCTCCGCCCATGCTAGAGTGTTGCCCAAGGTGTCAGCCGGTGCGTGTTAGTAGAGGGGGAAGCCGAGACACTCGGCGACACAGTGGCCAATGTGAAGGCCACGGCACTGGGGGATACTGTGGTTGAAACAAAAGCAGAGGCGGAGACAGAGACCCTAGGCGAATCACTGGGCGATGTGAAGGCCGAGGCATGAGTCGCCAAGCTGGCAGAAAGCTTGAAGAGGAGGAGACTGAGACACTTGCCCACACACTGCGATTTGTGGAGGCCAAGGAACTAACCCGTGCATTAGCTGACACGCTAGTACTGCCTTCTGCCGAGGCACTTCTCCATACGGTGACTTACAGGTAAGCAGAAGCAGGGGCTGAGAAACTAGGCGACACATGGGCAATATAAAGGCGGAGGCACTGGTCGACACGCTGGCTGCAAAGCTAGCAGAGGCGAAGGTCCAGACACTTGGCCAGAAACCAAGCGAAGTGGAAGCCCACTCACCAGTTGCCACGCTGGCTGACACAACAACTGATTTAAAGGCTAAGACACTGGCTACACACTGGGCGATGTGGAGACCGAGGCTCTCATCTACACGCTGGCTGACACTGTAATAGAGGCGGAAGCCGATACACACGGCGACAAACTCTGCGATGTGGAGGACGACGCAATAATCGACACGTTGCCTGACATTATACCGGAGGCGGAGACCGAGACATTTGGTAAAAGACTATGCGATGTGGAGGCCGAAGCACTGGTCCACACAGTGACTTACACGCAAGCGGAAGAAGGGGCTGAGAAACTAGGCGTCACATAGGACGCTTAGCACAAATATAAGCGATGTGGAGGCCGAGGCACAGGTCGAGAGGATCGCTGACACTTTAGCATAGGCGGAGACCAAAACACTTAGCCACACTGTGAGCAATGTGGGGGCCAACGCACTGTTGACACTCTAAGCGATGTGGAGGTTCGAGGCACTGGTCCACACGGTGGCTTTCACGCTGGCAGAGATGAACGCGGGGACACATGGTAAGTCACTAGTCGACGTAGAGGCCGACGCACTAATTGACACGATGGCTGACAATCTACAATCAGGGACAAAAGTAGTTGACACACTTGTTTAAAACGGGTGCTTTTAACAAACATTTAATTCATCTATTATTTCATTCTTTTTAAACGCCGTAAATCCCCTCACCCCCCGAATCAATGTTGTCTGAAGTAAAAAAAAGACTTGAGGGTCCAAAATTCAACATTGATTTTGGGGGGGAAGGGGTTGGGGTAGACAGGGGAATGGGATAAGTATATCCACTATGCAAAAAGGGGCCATTTTACGGAAGTGTGCCAACACTTTTGTCCCTCATTGTCTGAATGCAAAATTGTGCTACTGCACACAAGTTGAGCCGTGCATGACACTGATTTTAACTGAAATTAAAGAAATCAAAGACATAATTATGTTATTGGTGGTGGGGGTGACATTGACTTATTCACGACCGAATTATAGGGCCAATTGGAATTACGTGATGACGTAATAAAAGGGCTGCGATATCCAGAATTAACGTCGATATGGTTTACAAGCTAAAAACTAACGCTGAAACTCGCGCACATGTACAACTTTTGATGAATTTCAAGGGTACGCGTACTGAAAATGTTTTTAATAAAGTGAATATTTCTCGTTCTTCACTTTATCCGATGGTTAAGGCGCAAACAATCACGGGTAGGGTAAGGATTGACACGTAGTGGGGATAGTCACTGGCCGGCCACGGAAATATGGAGCGTTAGTGCGGAGCGGCCGTCACTGCGTTCAATATCGAAACTACGGAAAAGTGAAGGTAAATTCATGGCCAATTCAATAAAAAACTAAGGACAGCGTAGCAAACATTGCAAGTGTCCACGAAAACAATTACTTTCAATCCCACCTCGTGACACCATGAGTGACATGATAACGCAACGCAAATAGCGTGACATGAGCGCATATGTCTGTGTATTTGGACTGTATTTCTCAAGCGAAACCCTGTGTTTTTGTCTATTGTCGGCAGAGAAAATGAAAAGAGAGCTTTGAAACGTGAACTGGTATTTGACTCTCAAAGAAAACGACAGCTCAAACTGAGGAAAACACTGCTTCCTTCGTGTTACAACGGTTAACCACGTTTCGGCAAACGGAAAGTAACATTAGTCTGTTATGACCTCTTAATGTCGATATGTATTCTCGTGGTTAACCGTTGAAACTCCTTATTTGCACAACATCGCTGGAATTTTTCTCGCCAAGAATACGTATTGCGAAGTACTTTCTACATAGAGGAATCTTCTTTTGCCTTTTGCGAGGAATTAGCGCATAAAAAAGGAAAATTTTCTAGCGCACGGCCGTCATCGATCACATGTCATCCCGCTTTCCTTGTCATCAAGTGAACTTCTGGGCCAAAGTAATTGCTGTTTTGGCGATGATGCAAACTGGTGTGTCTATCTTGAAAACAATTTCTTTGGTATTCTGTAATTTACGAGCTGGGAAATGAAATAGAGTTGTCCATCCAACATCAATAAAAAATCATGCCACTGAATAAATGGCAGGCGGTCATCTAAAATCATTACAAAAGTACATTCCTAACCTGTTCGACGCCTACCTACGCTAAAGGTTTGGATCAGTTAGGTTTGAAAAGGTCTCCAAAAAAAACCCACATCTATATATAGGGCATAGCACAAGCGGCTGGCCCAACATTTATGAGGTTCATAACCTGTATATTGTTCACGTCCTTTCACTAATGGCACAAGTCAATGTCAAAAATAATGCATGTCCCCTCCGTCACTCTGCAGTACTTCATTCGCTTAAGTTAACCATTTACCAGAATAATTTTCGTTGTACCTTAGTGTTTCCATCCTTTTTCCACTATTGATAACACTTGTGAAAACATTACATCCGCTGCAACGGCATTGATCACAACACAAATGTTTTCCTCTCGACCCCACAGGGTATCAGGAACGCGCGAGGGAGTACAAGATTAAATAATGACATACGCTTCGTACATTTTACTCTACGTATACTACAAATCAGGACGAAACTTTGCAAATTTTTGTTTCTAAAAAAAACAATTTGGCCCATAGAGTAACGTCATCGCACAAAAACTCAGCAGCGTCAAAAATCTAGCCGGAAAACACAGATGCATATTTCAGACAATCAGGGACAAAAGTAGTTGACACACTTGTTTAAAACGGGTGCTTTTAACAAACATTTAATTCATCTATTATTTCATTCTTTGTAAACGCCGTAAATCCCCTCACCCCCCGAATCAATGTTGTCTGAAGTAGAAAAAAGACTTGAGGGTCCAAAATTTAACATTGATTTTGGGGGGAAAGGGGTTGGGGTAGACAGGGGAAGGGGATAAGTATATCCACTATGCAAAAAGGGGCCATTTTACGGAAGTGTGTCAACACTTTTGTCCCTCATTGTAGCAGAGGCAAAATTCGAGACACTTGGCGACACATTGGGCGAAGCAAAGTCCGGGGCGCTGGTTGACACGCTGGCAGAAACCTACCAGAGGAGGAGGCCGAGACACTTGGCCACACACTGCGAATTTTGAAGTCCAAGGCACTAACCAACCCGCTACCTGACAGGGCAGCAGAATCACAGGTAGAGACATTTGACGTCAAACTAGGCGATGTGTAGACAGAGGCACTAATCGACACACTGCCTGACACTCTCGCAGAGACAGAGGCCGAGACACATTGCCACAAACTGTGCGATGTGGAGGCCAAGGCACTGGACCACACGTTGACTTACACGCTAGTAGAAGCAGAGGCTTTGAAACTGGGCTACACATGGGAAATGTCGACGCCGAGGCAAACATCATTATCCTGGCTAAAACGCTAACAGAGTCGGAGGCTGAGAGACTTGGCTACACACTGGTCAATGTGGAGGCCACAGCAATGGTCGACATGCTGTCTTACAATCTAGCAGAGACTTGGTGACACACTACGCAATGTGGAACCCGAGAGACTGGTCGACACGCTAGCATAGGCACGGGTCGAGAAACTTGGCGACACACTAGTCGATGTGAAGACCGAGGCACTGGTCGACACGGTAGCTGCCAACCTACCAGAAAGAAGCAAAGGCAGTGACACTGCCACACACTGGTGATGTGGAAGTCGAAACACTGGTCGCCTTGCTGGCTGACACCCTACCAAAGGCGAAAGCCGGGACATACTGCAACACACTGACCTAAGTGGAAGCCGATGTACTCGTCGACACGCTGGCTGACAAGCTAGCAGGGTCGTAGGCAAGGACACTTGGCCACACGCAAAGCGATGTGGAGGCCCAGGCACTAGTGCACCCAAAGGCTGACACGCTAGCTTTTGCGTAGGGCGAGACACTTGCCAATACACTGGTCAATGTGGAGGCGGAGGCACTGGTCTCATACGCTGGCTGTCACATTAGCATAGGCAGAGACCGAGGCATTTAAGAAGACACTAAGCGGTGTGGAGGCCGAGGCACTAATCAGCACGCTTGCTGACATACTAACACAAGCGGAGATTGAGACATGTGGTGACACAGTGGCTGATGTGGAGCTGGACGCACTGGTCGCCACGCTGGCCAACCCTCTGGCAGAGGCGAGGGCCGAGATACTTGGCAACCCACTGGGTGAAGTGGAGGTTAAAGCACTGGGCAACAAGCTGGCTGACACGCTGGCAAAGGCGGAGGGCGAGACACTTGGTCACACACTAGACTGTGTGGAGTCCGAGGAACTGATCGACACGCTGGCTGACACGCTAGGAGATACGGAGACCAAGACGCTCGGCGACTCACTAGACGATGTGTAGGCCAAGGCATTAATCGACACGCTGGCTGACAAGTTAGCAGGAGCGGAGGCCGAGTCACTAAGCCACACACCTAGGAATGTGGCGGCAAAGCCCCCGGTCGACACGCTGGCTAACACGCTAGCTTGTTCGAAAGCCGAGACACTGAGGACACACAGGGCGATATGGAGACCTAGTCACTT